CTTGTTTTTAGTACTTGATGCGCTAAAAAAAAAAAAACAACACTTAATAGAAAAAAAAAACAAAAAACTCGCGTTGATTATAAAAATGTTTATATTTATTTTTTTCTGTCAAAAACTGATTTATGTGCACTACTTAGATATCTCAGCTAGTCAAATGCTTGGTGGGTTGCCTGCATTTATGATGATTACAAAACGAAGCTTCCGTTTAAATSAACTAGACTGCTAGATAAAACTCAAACCATGAATAAAGGAGAAACGCTTAAATTCGAGTTCATAGTTAAAAACCAAACATTTTAAAACAGCCCACCAAAAATTGACTTGGGCTACCTGTGTTTTCAAAACATTATTTTTGCCCACGTGTATGCCCCCTCAAAAAGCTATACTTACTCCTCATTAAGTTCAAACCCTTCACTTGGATTTTGTTCTATTCTTGATTTATATGTATTTCTGAAATCAAGCTACAAAAATGGTCTATTAGTATTTTTAATACGGCAAACTAAAAGTTCTATAGAAAATTATTTCCGAATATCACATTAGAAAAAAGAAATTGGAGTTTGTATGATCATAAAACATACTAGGGAAAATTGGAAATTGAGTGTACAACGTGCGAAAAAATACCTTGCACAGCGGGAAAAGACTCGAGAGTGAAAGTCTTTTTGGCGCCAAAACAAAATTTGCAAGAAAAAGATAATTGAAGACTTATAGAATTGTATCATATCAGCAATTATATTTTTTATTGTTTAAAAATAGTGATCCTCCAAGACAAAAATAAGCAAGCCTTTGTCAACCGAAAAGAAATGCTTTTAGAGAAATTGTAAAAGTCAACATGGCGTCTCCTTTTGCAGATTGTCGTCAAATAAAAACTCAATGTTGAATCGTACATAATTGAGGGAAAATGATACTTTGACATGCATAAGACTAAAGCGACTTTTAAGAGCACAAATTAGATTTTAAAGTTTACTTACACGACAGGTATTCGGCACATTAACAACAGCCTTCTTCTTCTTCTTCCCTCCATCAGATCGGCGAGCAAGTTCACAGGTTTGACCCTCCGAGATCTTTCTGTCGATTTCTTCTAATTTGTTGACGACTTTTTCCAGAATAGCGGCACATTTGAAGTTTTCAGTAACCTCACCTTCTTCGTCACTGCTCATTGTTTTTCAAGTTTACTAATACAAACTTTGGAATTCCCGCTTTACAACCTCGTGCACCGTCTTTTTGTCGATTGACCGAGATCGAGCTAGCTTGTGAGAGGGAAGCTAGCTCGAAGCATCGTGCAAAATTCCTGTTCATTGA